GTCTGTCTGTCTGTCTGTCTGTCTGTCTGTCTGTCTGTCTGTCTGTCTGTCTGTCTGTCTGTTTGTCTGCCTGCCTGTCTGCCTGTACGTCTATTTGCTTGACTGCCTGTGTGTCTTGTCTATCCATCTATCATCCTACAATATCAAGTATATATATATATATATGTATACACGAGTGTATTTTCACGTGATAATGTCGAATTTACCTGCCATGCTAACACACATTCATTGTGTATCAAGTTTACCCTGTGAATTTAGTTTGGTTGTTACAGCAGTCGATTTGTTCACGAATATTTGTGTGGATAGATGGCGCTGCGGGTTCATATTGGTTCGATTGACGTTCGCAGCAGTCTGTTAGGCAGGCGCTCGCGTTTGTTCGCTATTATTTGCTGTCAGTGATCGATCATCGAGCGTCTGCTGCCGGTTCCACGTTACTGCGAACGCAAATAATTCACGTGTTTGATTGAAATTAATCACTAAGGGGACACTGAGGCCTGCGTCATAGCCAGAGCTAGCTCTAGAACTATAGCCCTTAGCGAAGGGCTGTAGTTCTAGAGCTAAGCCACGGCTAGGTGTCATCACTACCTGAACATATGGCTGCTGTCGCTTGCTGCACGCACGCAAAATAATACTAGTACTAGGAATGAAGTATAGTGTGAGAAGGATCTGTTCTACTTCGCTATATAGAATTGACATGCACGCACGCGAAATAATACTAGTACTAGGAATGAAGGGCGAAGTAGAACAGATCCTTCTCACACTATATGTATAGAATTGACATGCATGCACGCGAAATAATACTAGTAAACAGATCCTTCTCACACTATACTTCATTCCTAGTTCTACTTCGCTGTATAGAATTGACATGCATGCACGCGAAATAATACTAGTACTAGGAATAAAGTATAGTGTGAGAAGGATCTGTTCTACTTGAATACACGCCGTGACAACACGGGGGGTTTGCTGGCGCCCTCTAGGGAGCGACGGAGCGTGAAGGCGCCGGGCCCGCGTCGCCGCCGCGCCTCGCCGACGTTCCGCCATTGTTTTGCGCTGTCGGTAAACACAAGAGCAGACACAGGAAGCAGGCGGCGTGTCGCGGGGCCGACAGGCTTTGTTTGACGGTGGCGCCACGGGCTGGAGTCGCTGCGAGCGTGACAAGGATTTGTTAGTGTAGCGTTGTCAGTATCATAGTTGTACCTGTTTGAGGAAGGTGAGCGAGAGGAAGGAAGAAAGAGAAGGGGAGATGTGGGGAGAGGAAGGAAGAAAGAGAAGGGGAGATGTGGGGAGAGGAAGGAAGAAAGGGAAGGGGAGATGTGGCGAGAGGAAGGAAGAAAGAGAAGGGGAGATGTGGGGAGAGGAAGGAAGAAAGAGAAGGGGAGATGTGGGGAGAGGAAGGAAGAAAGAGA